GTTTATTTGACAAATTCATTTTTTAGGGTTTTAATAGGCTATGCTATCGATGTATTCCAGTGTCTAGGAACTATATTCGGTAAGTAGACTAATCATTCATGTAATTTTACATTAATAATTTCACGACCTTTAGTTAACAACTCAAGCGTCCAGTAACAGCTAAAATCATTTTCATCAAAAATGTTGGATCATTCTACAAAACGGGTACGAGATGCTGCAATTTACTTTCTTACTCTCTCTGTTTACATATTTCGATTTTAAGTGACGTTTTATTTGAAAAGTTGAGCCCTTAGATTTAGCGGCAATCATATAAGCTATTATATTTTCATTGTTAACGAATTATCCCTTTGAAAATGGTTAATGGATGTTACTTAATGGTTTCTCTCACGTTCGTGTAAACAAGTCAACCCAACCCCGTTACAGTCAACTCCGCGTTACTTTCGGATTTCCCCAACATATTTGATTAAATTGTATTATTGTATCTTGAGGTGGAACAATGCAGTTTACTAGCTAATACTTAAACACGTTTTGTGATATAACGTTTAAAATCTTACAAAAATCAACTTTAGTCAAACTGGATACAGGAAACGCTTCAGAGAACGGCAAAGTTGAATTGACATGCAAAGGATTGATGTCTCTTTGTGTAGAAGAAGTGTGAAGATGAATTTAAGCAAGAGGAGCTATGAAGTGTAAGAAACTATAGTCTGCCCCCGACCCAGATTCTTCTACGCTGTAATAAACATCTTCATCGAGATCTTCAACGTCCTCTTCATTTTTTCAAGTTATGACCCTAAATGTGATGACAGCTCTTATGCTTTAGGTAGGTGACACGATTATTCTACAGTAATTTATCTTTTTGAACCGTGTGACTGTAGATTGATTCAGTTTGATCCAGCATGTCATTTTTCACATAGCCTACTTTGCTGCAGTGTTGGTAACGCATGAAAATGAACGCCAGTTAGTAATCAAATTACTTTTTTTCAAGTAACTAGTAAAGTAATGCATTGCTTTATGCATCGAGTTTTTTTTAGAAAACACAACGTCTCTTTTCACTGTTACGCCGATGATACAGTCAAATCAAAAATTATTCAGACACCATGATACCATTTTTGATATT